ATCTTATTGCAGCATAAAATTACTTTTAAACTTACTTTTAAAAACTAATTTGTCAGTGTGTGGTGAATTTTCAATCAACGCCAACTCGTTAAAAATATAAAAACTCCACTGTCTTCATTTCTCTGTTTAGTTTTCTGTCCATGCATTGAATCCTTGGATATCCTCGGCCGGATAGGATACTCAAATTCATCCTTGGATTTTGAGATTTTGTCGGCTGCATTCCTCGGCCACATGATGAGGAGCCTTCAAATTGGGACAGTACTCGGCGCAGGGCAGGGACGTATGTGYCCGACAAATGCACACTCATGAGCATGCAGCCCTAGCCTGGTAAAAACCAGACTCTATGCTTCACTTTGCTTCGTACGAGGGTCTGGACTCTCAGCTATAGAGAAGAGATTCTTGCTGGAGGCGTGGCCTCTGCTGAAGTTTAAAATGATTGGATCGAGGGTCTGGACTCTCGGCTATAGAGAAGCGATTCTTGCTGGAGGCGTGGCCTCTGCTGAAGTTTAAAATGATTGGATCGGTTGGCTGCGACGAATGTGTGCCAGCTCCACTGTGAAGGAGGCTAAGCTAAGAAGCTAACCGGAATCGCGTGTGCTGTAAACAACCCTACTGAGAGGAGAGAAGTACCGAGCTGAACGAGACGACTGTAAATGAGAGCTGCTGCTTTGTCAGACAAATTTAATTTAATCTGGAAGCCTTATCAACAAGGACTGGCTTCATTCACTTCCTCCACTGCTGTATGATAAAATAACTAGCAGACACTGCGCAGAACATCGACGTCATTCAAAACTCCGCCTTCTGTTCTCTGTTTGGCCCAGGTAAAATGAATTATAAGCAGACACTGTGCAGAAAATCAGCTTTCTGMTCTCTGATTGGCCTGAATGAAATGCTCCCGAATAAATCCTTGTCAATGGGAGAAGTCCCCGACAGAGCAGTGAAGGAAACTAGAATTGAGCGGAGCTGCGTAGGAAGGCAAGGGTCAGCCTAATGCAGCCCATGAATTGTGACACAGCCATATAATACGAGCAGCTAACATAATCTGCTGGCTGGTATTTTTCACAAGTCTTCAGGTTGCCTCAGTAACAACAGCAAGTTCATGAAACTAAATAAATAAATCAAGTCAGATGCTAGGAAAGTAAGCTAACAATAGGAAATGTCTAAGCAAACAATCATCCAATCCTTGAAAAACATGGTCCTTTGGAAACGCCTCGTCTGCAGAAATACCTATTTAACTAGAGTGTGCACTGATCACATAGACCTACATAGTTCTGAGTATAAGCTGACTGTAAAAATACATATAACATATATGAAATATGATAATATATATTTTTAGTGTACATAAGATATTGGATATATATAAAACTGTCAGAAAGCTGGGTTTTATGGATATACCAGC